AGGTGGGCCTTCTCCTTGTCGGCTCGTGTGCCGACGGAGCGTTAGAGGGGGCGCGTTTTGGTGAAAAATTATGGGCGTGTGCGGAGCGGAGTAGGACAGGCGCGGCGTGGACGACTTCGTCGAACAGGTGTGTGCGGCCAGAATGAGGTTGGCTGTCTAAAGTGGAGTGCTTCCGGCCCATGTGTCTGTGGCGTGGGTGTTGGCTGGAGCGCGTCAGTCGGTCGGCAGGTGGAGGAGTGGAGGGGGGGGCAGTGAGTTCTTCTTTTCAATAGTCGCCTTGCACAAGCAGTATAGTTCAATCGGACGTTTCCTTTATCCCCCTGGGTCTAGTGTGTAGAGCTTTGCCCATCGAAGGCCAGGTGCCAGTATAATTATGCGTGCAGTTTAAGGCCAGGAAACATCACGGTGCGGATATTTGAGAAAGCACGTGCGCCTAGACCTACACAGCTGGCGGGATGGAGCGGCTTGGGGTCGCGAGCGTAGGAGCCGCGGGATTGGCCCTCATTAGTCCGGAAGTGCGGAGCAGGCAAGGATCCATCACTGGCTCGGGCCACGTTGAGAGGCGAGTCCTGGCAGTTGCGGGCTGGGGCTTGGGGTGCGGTGCGAACAGGTGCGACAACTTGCGTGTGCAGTCGTGTACGTGTCGCGAGATGAGGGCGATACGAAGGCCGGTAATCCGAGGCGTCGGGCGTGCAGGGCGGCAGCGAAGAATCAGCTGTGTTCCCGCCGGCTTGCTAGCGTCCGGCAGCAATCAATCGACCTTGCCCAGCCCCGCCTGTGTTCGTGGCTACGATACGTTTTGTGCATTTTGTTGTGGATGCGTGCGTCTGTTGGTCGCTGAATGACTGGGGCGCTCGAGCCGAGGCTCCTTATGAGGGAGACTTAACCAGTTTAGCGGCGTACGAATGCCTTCTCCTAGCCTCCATGCCGCCGAGCGGGCCGCCGCACGCCAGCACATGTGTGGCCTCCCTGCCGTGTTAGTTGTGATGGTGTAAGGGGAGCAGCTGTGTGGGAGAGCCTGAGCGACATCCCTTTTCCCCCTTTCCCCCTCCCCCTCCCCCCCTGCTCCCTCCTCCCGCGGCTCCCCTCCTCGCCACGCGCTGCCCGAGCTCTCTCGTCTGCCTGCCTAGTCAACCCCGTGAGTGCGAGACTGTTTGACGCGCTCCGACGTGCTCCGCGCTCTTCCCGCTCGCTCTGTTGACGCCCGCAGGAGCTCACAAAGACGCGATAATTTGAGATTTGTTCCATCCACCAACCAGCGTCGCGGAGAGCTCCTCCTGCCGACGGCGTCACGTGACATCGAGTGGCTCTAGTGTGCGTTGTTTACCTTTTTCGCGAGGGGATCGGCTGCGGATCGGCGGGACGCTCGCCCTCCCGGTAATGTTTCGGGTTGTAGCGAACACCAGTGTTAGGTGGTGGCTAGTTCCGGAGCATCTACACTTTGCGCACCTTCCCCTCGCCGCGCGCAGTCCGCTTCGTCGGCCCGCCGCGGCTTCACCACGCGTCCAGCGCTGCACATCGAGGCTTGGTACAAAGAAAAGTTTCTGAGGTGCGGGTCAGCTAAGTGCGCCGCCGTGTGGTTTCCTTTTGCTTCTTGGTCTGTGTTGGCGCGGTCCAGTTATGACAGCAGCGGTGTTGAAGTTATGACGCATCGAGTGTGAGTAGTTGTGTGTTGCGGATTACAGTACACAGAAATGCTCCAGGCTGTGATTATATCGATACGGCAGCCTCTGTCGCGAAGCAGGTAACTGAAGATGAACTGGTGTAGTTGTTGTGTTATGGTGTAGTGTTGAGTCAGTGTAAGTGTTGGCTGTAGGAAGTGGTCACATGGTAAGCTCCGTTATGGTAACTTAGTACGGTCAGGCGCCAGTAGTGTAGTTAGAGTTGCCACCTTGATCAAGAGTAACTCTGCGTGTGACGCTAGTTCTCCGTAAGTTGCCCACACGCTTGCGCCCTTCCTGCTCAAGCCCAAGGCTCAAGATACGACCCAGTCTCTCCAGGAACCGCTGCTGCTCCTTGAAGTGCGAGGCATGAAGGGCGAGGACGAGTAGCGTGCCGGTGCGTGAACCATGCACGTCCCAGCGGGCGTGCAGCCGTGCCCGTCATGCTACGCCTACTGTGTCCCCCGGGCAGCATGCCCAGGTGGTATCCCCCCGCCTCCACCTGTGCCGCGGCACGCCCACCCACCTGTCAGGCAGAACAGCCCCCATGGCAGCCCGGCGAACAGCCCTCACCACAGCCCCCACCGCACCCAGCCGCGGCCCATGGGCCACCCTCCGCCGTGCACCCACCAGGGGCTGTACGGCGGCCTTCGCTTCGGCTCGCTCCCTCACTCGCAGCCCGTGCCCAAGGTGCCCCCGCACTACAACTCCCTGCCCCATCAGCAGCCACCTCCGCCTCCCCCGCCCTCGCACCAAGGGCCTTGCCATCCTCCTCCTCATTCCTTCAGCCACAATGATATTCCTCCTCCTCCCCCCCCCCACACGCCTCCCTTCCTCCAGGTCGCCCTCACTTTTTCCAACAGTCGCGTTTCCAGCACACCTCCCCCCGCCGGAGGAATCCCCCCCACCTCCGCCCCCCCTCCACACGGATCACACCCTTGCCAGCAACATCGCCACCCCCTCCCTCCCTCTCACCCTCAGCCCTTCTATGGCAACCTGCAGCCCGGACTTCCCCCACACGTGCAGCGCGCCCATCCCCCACACTACCAGCAGCCCCCACACCCACAGCCCTACCACGGCAGCTTGCACAAGCAGAACAACAACCACCACCCCGCCTCCACCACCAGTACTTACTCCTCCTGCTACCCCCAAACTCCCTCCTCCGCGCCCCCCTCCCCTCCCTCCGCCCACTCCCACCCCGCAGCCCTTCAGCCAGCTGCGATATGGGTGCCTGCCCCATCAGCAGCTGGTGCCACCGCCCCCTCCGCCCCTGCAGCTCCAGCATCAGCACCACCTCCAACTCCACGGCTGCGGCCCGCCCCACTTCCACCACCGGATCCTCGAACTGACCGGGCCTGTATGGTAAGTCACACCGAAATGCAATACACTTCAGGCGGAATGGCGGGTACAGTTTCACGGGGATTTTTTTGTACCGGGTGCATTGCGTCGCGTTGGCGGGGCTCGTTTCTGCGACTGATATTGTGTGTGTGCGTGTTTGTTTGTCAGCTAGGCGAAGGTGAACGCGCGTGCTGGCGTGTGTGCGTGCGTCTGTCCGTGCGGTGTGCTGAGCTAGTTGACTATCTCTCTTCTCTCTCTCTCTCTCTCTCTCTCTCTCTCTCTCTCTCTCTCTCTCTCTCTCTCTCTCTCTCTCTTCTCTCTTCTCTCTCTCTCTTAACCTTCTCCCTCCTCCTCCCGTCTCCCTTTCTCGCCTCTCTCTCTCTTCGTTTCCCCTGCCCGGCTATAATTGTTCAGCTGTTACTCCCCAGCGTCGCCACATGGCCTCATGGTATGCACTGCTTGTCTTCTTGGATGTGGGTTTCTATTTCATCCCCTCGTCAGATGTTTGTTGCCTCCTTCGTGCTCCCCTGCCCTGGTCGTCTCTCTCTCTTCTCTCCCCGCGTTTGCTCCCCTCGGCCAGCTTGCTGCCTTACTGAATAAATAGGTGGTTGTCTACAACTCCCCCTCCTTGCCATCGGCGTCCTTACCCCCACGGGAAGGAAAGGTCGAAAAGGCTTACAAAGGATATTTCCATTCCTCCACCTCTTCAGCCTACCCTCTACCCTTGTCTCGTCCTGTCGTTCGCCACCGCCCTCAATGTGTCTGATAGTGAGCATTCTCCACTCTCATTCGATAACTGGCACGTCCTCTCTCTTCTCTCTCTCTCTCTGCTCTCTTCTCTGCTCTCTCTCTGCTCTCCTCTTCTCTCTCTCTCTCTCCTCTCTCTCTGTCTATGACTCTCTCTCTCTCTCTCTCTCTCTCTCTCTTCTCTCGTCCTCTCTCTACGTTCTCTCTCGTCTCTCCTGCTCTCCTTCTTCTCTCTTCTCTCTCCTCTCTCTCTCTTCTCTCCCTCATTCTTTCTTATTTTTTCTACTTCTTCTTTTTTTTCTTGTGTAATTCCTTTACTTTTCTTCTGTTACCATTGTTTCCTCCTATATTTTACTCTGCTGACTGCTTGTTTACTGGTCTGCGTTCTATACTTTCGTTGTAATTGGTTGTGCGCTACATGAAAACTCCTTCCTTGCCTTTGATGTCTTTGTCTCCTTTTTTATTCTCTCGTAGTCTCTACTCGCTTTCCCTTAACGTCTCCCCTTTTTCTTCTTCCCTTTTAGCACACTATCCTCCTCGCCTCCCCCCTCCTCCTTCCTTGTTGTTTGCCCTCTCTTCCTCCTCTATCCCTTGTCTCTCGTTCCCGTGCGTTCCTTTACTCACGGTCTCCTCGTGTTGCTTTCTTCTCCTTTTCTCTGTTTTTCCTCCTTCGCTTCTGCTCTTCATTCTCTCTCGCTTTTTTACCACTCTCTCTCTTTATATCCCTTGTATTTATTCTCTCCCTCTATTTCTCTGCTCTTCTTTTCTCTTTTCTTTTCCTTTGTTTTTCTTCTCTCTCATCATTCCTCATATTTTTCCTTTTTCTTCTTGCCTTTATTCATTACCCCGTTTTTTCTCTTACCCTTTTTTCTGCTCCATCTTCTCTTACCACCCTCCCCTTTCACTCTTTTCTTTCATTTCCTTTTTCCTAGGCTTTCCCTCCTCCCCCCACTACTCCTCCCTATTCTCTCTCCCTCCCATTCATACTATCGCTTTTATTTCACTCCCTCTTTTTCCCTCCTCTCTTTCTCCTCGCTCTCCTTCCTCCTACTTACACTACTCCGCTCTATTAGTGCTCTCTCTTCCCTCATTTCTCTTCACTCTCCTTCCCCCAAAGAGTACCTGTCTACTCCGTAATACCAGTTCTGATTCGTGTCTCCTCTGCTAGCTCTCCGTCTCACTAGCTCAAACTCATCTTCGTCCCCCTCCCGCCTTTCCTTTTCTATTTAACCGTCTGCTCCTGTTTTATGCCTGCCTCTCATCACTCGCAAACCGCACCTCATCGAGCCTGCCATCCTAACCGCACTCACTAATAGCTCCTCCACCTATCCACTATACACCACATCGCTTTCACTATCTCCCCTCTTGCCTTCTTCTCCCTCCCTCGCCTTTACAACTCCTTCTTCTTCTCACCTCCCTCCCTTCCCATGGAACATCCTCTCCCTCCTTCTCCCACTCACTTCCGCCCAATCGTCTCTTCACCCTTCCCTTACTCCACTCACATTCTATCTCTCGCGCCTCCCCACCACCATTCCCGGGCGCTCACGTCCTTCCATCAGACCCTGTACTCTATACTCTCTCCCGCCTGCTCTCGCCCTCGTTCTGTTTGCTTAATTCCTTTCTCCTCTCCTCCATCTCTAACCTCCTTCTCTTTCATCTCCGTTACCTCCCTCATCTCTCTCCCTCCTCACACCTTCGGCTCATCTGTGCGTTCTCTACCTCTCTGTCTCTTAGCATGCTCTCTCTCTCCCTCCTCTCCTCTGCTTTACGTGCGGGGTGCTCCTCTCGTACTCCTCTCTCCTTCTCATCTCTGCTCTCTCTCTCTCTCTCTCTGTCTCTCTCGACCTCTCCTGCTACTCTGAGCTCTCTCTTTCTCTCTCTCTCTCTCTCTGTAATGCCCTTTACCCGCCCTACGTGTTCTCGCCAGTCCCGCAGTATATCCATCATGCAACAGTGTGCCCCACGCTACGTGTCTCGTGTCAGCAGATACGCGATGCAACCACAGCAGCAATTGGGTGTCTTGTTTCTATGGCGTGAGGTCCCCGCTCCGCCCCTCTTTTTTGCCGTTGCACATTCCGCAGCTATCAGCTTCCCCCCCGTCGCTCCGATCACTAGGTCGACCGAGCTCCGCTCGATCCCAAATTTAACTCAATATAGGCGCTCCGGACGACCTGCGTCCCGGCAGAGCTCGCCGACCCTGCACCGCCCGCATTCCTTGTTCAATATCTCGCGGGCTCTGTTTTTTCTCTCGGTCTTTTATTTCTCTCTTGCGTTTTTTTCTTTCTCCTCTCTCCTTCCTCTCATCTTTGTTCTCCTCTCCTGTGCTCTTCCGTTTACTCTTCTCATTCTCTCTCTCACTCTCTTCCTTCCTGCCTACTACTCTCGTTCTCATGTATCCTCTCTCTTTCGTTCTCGCTTTAGTCTCTTCCTTTTCTTCTCTTTCTCTTTCTTTCTGTTCTTGGTGATCCTTGTTTCTCGTGCTTCTTCCTCTCCTCGCGTGCTGCCTGCTGCTTCTCCTGTTCCTCTCTCTCCTCTCCTTCTTCTCTCTTTTCTCTCTCTCTCTACGTCTTACTTTATTCTCATTCGTTTCTTTCTGCTTTTTCCCTGCTGTCTCCTCCTCTCTCTCGCTCTCCTGCGTCTCTCCTGGCTCTGCCCTTTCTTCGCCTCCCGCCCCATTCTCCCCTCCTCCCTTCCTCTCTCTCTGTGCTCTCTTCTTCTTCTGTGCTTCTCTCCTTCTCTCTCGGTCTCCTCTCTCTTCTCTCTTGCTCTTCTCTCTAGTCCTACTCTTCGTCTCTCTCATCATCCATCTCTCCCGTTCCTCTTGCGTCCCTCCTCTCGTCTCGTCTCCTCGTGTCTCTCTCTTCCTTCCTTCCTTCTCTCTCTTCCTACTCGTCTCTCCTCTCTCTTCTCCTCCTCTCTCTCTCTCTCCTTCCTCTCTCCTCTCTCTTCTCTCGCTCCTCTCTTCTTCCTTCTTCTCTCCCTTCTTCTCCTCTCCTTCCCTTCCTCTCTCTCCTCCTCTCTCTCTCTCTCTCTCTCCTCTCTCTCTCTCTCTCTTCTCTCTCTCTCTCTCCTCTCTCTCTTCTCTCCTCTCTCTCTCTCTTCCTCCCACTCTCTCTCTCCTTTGCCCTTCGTTTCGGCTTCGTTCTTGCGTTCTTCTTTCGCTTTGTTTATCCGTTTATTTACTTTTCTCTGGTCTCTTTCTCCCCCCCTCCCCTCTCCTTTTTACTCTCTCAGTCCTTCTCCCTCTTCCCCATTTTCTCCTCTTCCCCTCCTCTTTCTTTTCCTCCGCTCTCTTTCTTTGACCGCTCTGACTACCCGTCGTCTCTCTTGCGTCTAATATCTTGGCTCACTTTGTATCCGTCGTGTTCGACGCCTGTGCGCCCGGACTTTAACCTTTATTTACATAATTGCTTGTTATTCAAATTTGATTTGTTCTCGTTTTGGGTTTTCATTGTATTTGAACAGCCTTGTAAGGTAAGATAGCGTTTGTGGTTATCCTTATTAACCCTAATACAATTGCAGTTATGTTTCTCGTATTTTCGGTCCTCCTCTCGAAGAGTCCATTATCTTGATTAATTTTTTTCTGTGCTGCGTATTATATCTATTGGATATGGATCTCAGGTTGCCCTGTGATGGCGTGATGAGCAACATATGGAGAAGAATAACTGACAGACAGAAATGAAAGCGGAACTAGCGAAGATTATAATGAGAAAGAAGATTGAAGGAATTATAAGGAAAATTCGAGAGAGCCGGA